GCAGGTTCTGCGTCTAAATCCAGACACCCATGCAGCTTCTCACTTTCTTGGTGCATAATCAACTCTCTTTTTTTATATTAGAGCTGTGTAAGATTACAGCTTTAGGGTTACAGCAAAGTGGCAGGTTAACGGTTGGACTTGATGATCTTAGGGATCTCTACCAACCTTTATGTTTCTATGATTCTAAGACATCAGGGCAGTGCCTTGCCCTCTGTGGCAGCCCTTAACATGACAGAAGACCTTTATAGAACCCTTCCATTTTCCCTTTTCTGCACTAAACACACACATTTCTTCCTGTTTTTCTGTTGCTCATGATATCGAGGGGAAAACAAGCTTTGTACAGTATCTGGTTGTCTGTTTATCCTGACATTAAAAGAAAAATGTTCTTAATTTCTTCATATATCCCTTATGTTCAGGTGCTTAGAAATAGGTACATTTTCTCTATGGAAACATGAAACATTTAACTCTCAGATATTTTATTTATTAATTGGCATCTCGCACATTGCCATGGCAACGGGATTCATTTGTTTTTCAATCTAGATAGGAACCATGGTCAGCAGGAGAACACACTGAAGCCACTCATTTGTCTCCCATTACCATCCTATTACTAGTGTATCTGAGTCCCAGTGTGCTCAACAGGAACTCCCTCCATCACAACAGAGGGTCTTGAATCATATTTTATCTGCATGGATTTCACCAGGGTTTTAGATAACTATTAATTGTGATAATATAAACCCTGAGGTACACTCTTCTATGTCTCTGCATCAAAAGCCCACAAAATGCAGGCCATCATCATCACCAGAATTTTGTAAACTGATTGTATCCAGAGAAACTCCACTGCTTTTTCTGGAACAGGTGTGTACATCACAGACATCTCACATAAAATGACAGGATACTGGCAAAAGGTGACCTCATACAAAATTGGGCCAAGGCACTTTGGGGCCTGATCCAGCTCCCATTTAAGTTAGTGTGAGACTAAAGTCTATAAATAGTGCTGTGAATGTTATCCAGTACTTTACTGATTGCCAGAACAGAGCTAGGAGAACAAGAATTAAGACTGTGTGAAGACTGACCCTTGTTCACTGCTTCAATCTCACTGAAGTCCTGCTGCAGAGAGATAAATATCCTTTTGGTGGGTAAATCACTTAACTCAAGAAGTAACTATCCCAGAGGTGAGAAATATATGGAATATTTGTGTTTTCCTTGGAGACTCGCCTGTCTGTCACATTTCCATGGAAAGACAGTCTAGAGGAATGCTGACAACCGTTCAGGTTTGCCAACATGCTATTAAACTCTTGGCTGCCCCATGTCTCAGTGGTTAATGACAAAATACACTCATCAAGAGTGAGCTCTTCTCTCCCTACATGCACATGACTCATGCAGACATTTACAAGACATGTGTATCCTCAGGGAAAGGAGTGGGCTAGGTGAAGACAATCATGCTTCAAGTCACACTTTTTTTTTTGTTTTGTTTTTTGCTTTTTCTCTCCGCGTGTTTCCAGAAAGTGTCTGATGTTCTGTAGGTGATTGCCAACATCTGGTATGGATGTCATACTGAATTATGCTAATACTTTCTCACATCTCATAGAAGGAGTGGATGGTGTTTTGGGATCTTGCCATTTCTCATTGTTTGGTGTTGCTTGCATTTTCTATGGTTTCTGATTTGCATTTGAAAAGCAATTATTTGATTAACCTCTGAATGTGATAATTTCTACCTGCCTTAACAGGAATGTTTGGGCCAAATTCTTCTTGCTTTCTGCAGATGTCAGGCTGCCTATACAGCCCTGATTCCCCTGATTTTGGATCTCGTGGTGTTTTTCATGTCATGCAAGCAGGATTTGGCCCAGAGGTGTGGAAAGAAGTCAGTGATTCAGAAAAAGCCTGTTATTGATTTACTCCACAGGGAGTAATCTATAGACCCATTGTCATTAATGGGTGTAGATGTTACTCAGCTTTGGATCAGATCCTCAGATTTTTTCCTGCATGCTGCCTGGTTTGATGTTTGACTTGCAAGAATTAAGTAAATGCCTTTAATGCCCCATAAATAGTATCTTCTATTAAGCTATATTGCAGTGCTCTCATTGGCACTATTTCAAAGAAGGATTATTTATCCAGAAGATTTAACCATGCTCTAAATTTGAATACATCTAGCATTGCTTTTAAAAAACATGGGATTGATTCATAGAGATGCAGAGCACCTGCAAGAGGTTCTGGGTGTCCTTATTTCCCCTCAGACCTTCCATTTTGATTTAAATATTTTACTTATCTGTGGTAGTCAGTTGTGTCAACAACCTTGATGGATGCTACTTAATTTTCTGGGAAGATTTTGTTTTTAAAGGGTGAGAAAAAACATTTGAACTGTAAGTATAACACCCTCCAAATGCTTTTCCTGGAAAGTTTTAACAAAGGTCCAGGAGGCAGAGTACAGTTATTAAATGATCTTTAATTATAGCAATTGTGTTACTAAAACATTCTCTTCTTATGTTGTTCAGAAGGCTGTAAGCTATGAAAGCAAAAAAAAAAATAATTAAGGGGAAGAAAAGCAGAAAACCTGCTTATAAAGAAATTGATTGATACCTGCAAGGAACAAACTTGTAAAACTAACAGTATAGGATTGCTACTCTGTTTAAAATCCTAGAAAGTAAACTAGGCAAAACATGTTTCATGAAATGACCTTGAAATTACGGATACTGGGGCCTGATTTTGAAAACAGGTAGTCTTTATTGGTGATTCAGATTTTGAGGGCCTCATTTTCTAATATTATCCCTATTCACATTAGGACTCCCATTGTCCTTGCCCATGTGAGTAAGATTAATTAAAGTACTTGGATGATACAAATACAGACTCCAAGCTTGTATCTGTGTTACAAACAAATAAATGTGCTGCAGGAATTTCACAGAGGGTACTTCAGGAAAAGAATATGTGGTTTGGTATTTTTTTCCCTTTCTTAAGACTCAAGTTTGCATTTGGATTTCCCAAGTTTCACCAGCTTTGGTGAAGAAACATCTGTGCATTCAATGGACAACCAATTATAAGAATCATTGTAAATGTTTCAGAATATTAGATTTAAAAAAACCCAACAAATTATAGTGCATTTACAAATCTGATTTCTTTTTGCTGACCTCATTACTTGTTTAAGACCTTACAGTCATAACACTGAGTAAGGCTGACAACCTAGAAATCCTTTCAGAACTAAACTACAACTAAAACTACTTCCACTTCAGGTATAAAGTTTACTCAAGACTAGACTACCAGAAGAGCTTTCATTTTTATTCAGGCATCAAAACAGGTAGCCAAATCTACAGGTGGACTCAAAAGTTCAAAGTCAGCCTCTTTCTAGGTACCTGACTAGAACTGACCTAATTTGTAAAATCTCTTTCTGGTGAGGAGGACAGGTAGCATGAAAATCCAGCTTCTGCCTGATGCTTGTCCTGGAATAATTCATGCTTTAGTTTTGAGCAGAGCAGAGAGTCATCTAACCTCACCATATTTTACCATTCTACAAACTAGCTTCATGGAATCAAACAAAGAATTAGTGCAGAAGGTGGGCTACCCAAACCTGGTGGGTCTGTCCCTTTCAGTTAAATGGCCATTTTATAGATGTTATTATCATTCACAATTTAACCTAATGGCAATATCCTATGCAGAAGTGGAATATTTTAGGCTGCTGGATGTAGGAACAGCTGCACCCTGTCAGCCATTCTAGCAGTTCATCCTCATTTGAGAAACTATGATTTCCCCTTACTTTAACCACAGAATTTTAAGCAAGGTCAAAACCCCATTTTGTCTTCCTATGAGTCCTGAAGTACATTTTTAAATTATTTTAAATTACACGGCACTAGTTCAGCCTTTGTGGCTGCCAAACTCGTAGAGTGGAATTCCAAGGAACTGAGATTTAATGTCTATGATCATATTCAGTGAGTAAATCAATGCTTCTGAATATTGCCTGGGAGAATTCCTCTTTGCATTCTCTTTTTTTCAATTTAACTCGATTTCTCTTACTGCTGCCATACTGGTGACACTGATTATTAGCAGCACTTATTACTACTTTTCCAGTATTAATTAAATATATATATATAGGAAAGAAACAATGAAATTTCTACCACTGTGCAGCTGGTATTAATGTTCAACTACTGCACATCAGAAGAGTCTTTTATTTTGAAAAGAGGGGTGTCTTTTTTTGCATATTCGTGTACTATTCAATCAACTCAAATAGTGCTGATCTCCAGGAACACTTCAAAAGCAAGAAATATCATTTAAGAAAACACTATAATTATTTATAGCTGAATATTTATAGAATAATAAACTGAAGGTAGTGTTGCAGGGTGAAATAATACAGGAGAAGCTAATTTGTGTGACCTAAGCCTTTAGTGTTATGTAATAAGATGATTTATCTATGTTGGCAGCATATTGTAAAACGATTAACTTTGCCCAGGTATTGTTGGAGCCTCAGGTTGTTTTAGTCAGATAGTTTCCACTGGATTTATTTGATTGCCTGTATTATTTGGCTTTTTTCTAATCCCAAATTCTTGTTGTCTTAAGCAAATGAATTGAAGGCAGAGGAATTATTCATATGAGGACAGCATGTTGGATTTGGCACTAAAATATGTAAAATAATCAGGGAGTAAACAGCTTTTCCATAGCTCTTCATCTGTTTATGTGAGGGATAAAGTTATCAGAATCACCTGAGTGATTTAAAAATACTTCATGTTCTCAAAATTCAATGGGATTTAGGCTTTACAGCCTTTACTGCAGATCCACAAAAATATAAAATACAATCCATAATTTCTTTATCCATGAATATTTTTGTATCTCACTGCTCCTCCATCCAGTTCATTCCTCCATTTTTAAATCAGTATTTGTGTAATACCAGGACTTTTGTCCAACCAAAAGGAGGCCAAACTAAACGTGCAGAGTGATCGCTTGTCTCGTTTCTGGTATCCAGTTCCAAACATGTAGTAGAAACCCTTCGAATTTCCCCTTCTATGGAGATTTTCATCATGAAAAGTAGCTGTCTGCAGACATGTTTCAGTCTCTCAGTCTATAAACTCTTGGCTTTTATCTCCCTAGGGCTGAAGACCATTGTAGGGGCACTTATCCAGTCTGTTAAGAAACTTGCTGATGTGATGATCCTGACTGTTTTCTGCCTGAGTGTCTTTGCCCTCATAGGCCTCCAGCTCTTCATGGGCAACTTGCGACACAAGTGTGTCAGGGATTACACCATGTTTAACTTCACCAATGGCTCGTTGTACTTGGATGGTAGGACGTGGAACACCTCAGAGGAATTTCTTCGTGATCCAGGTAAGCTCTTTGTTCTGTAATCTGGTTTCTGGTTGTTTGAGGAGTTTTTATTCGGTTTCTTGTTCTGTTTTGTGTTTTTAATTATATTGACCAAGATCTGTACATGAACCAGCAAATGCTACATTACATGACTAGTGGCTCTTCATGATGTTGATGTGGTTTGGAAAGATCAAGATAGCTTTTTCTGATCTCTATGGTATCTTCAGAGTTCATGCTGAAAGTGTTTCTGGTGTTTTTCTGCAACACAGATTGAGGTCTTTGTTGCATCACTGATGATTTTCATAGTTTTAGGGTGTCTCATGATATATTTCTTAAAGCTCTGTTTCTGTGAATTGGGCAATCACATGAAAGCTTCAGCTTTCTGTGTGTGGATCTGGTTTGCTTACTGTTTCTTGAAGACTATATATAGCTCTTACATTTTCTAGTAAAACTTCAAAATTTGAATTAATGGTCTTAAAAAAATCAAAAGGTAAAGCAGAGAAATTCAGTCTTTATTAATCTGAAAAATCCCAAGAGAATTTTTTTAAGGAAAGCTTATGCTATTAGGGCCCTAATTCATTATCTGGGTTGGGCCTTCATGCAGTGTCTGGTGCTCTGATGTTTGTCATCAAAAGGCTTGCTTTCTAGGCCAAAGCAATTTTTTAATACTCTACAGTCTTCTATACTTTGAATTACAATGAAATAGGTTCACTGAACTAATCTATTGACATTAAATTGAAGCAAGAAAAAAAAAGCATTTCATCTAAGTAAACTTCAGAATGTAAATAAGTGGTCCAACTGTTGCTGTTCCAAAACTTTCTGAGTCACCAGAGGACCCTCATCAATTGCAATGGACATGGGCTCACATCTTAAAAACATGTATGCCACAAAGCTCTGACTGAATGAGGGTTGTCTTTGGAACCGACCCTGACCATCAGGTTATGTGTCCTCTCAATGTCCCAGTATCATTTTGAAAGAGCTCTTGGACCTATGCTGACTAATGAGGAACCTGTTGACATGTTATCCCATCCATGTTCTCTCTACTTCCAGCTTGGAGATGAGTGCTCATGGAACTAGTAAAGATATCTGTGCACCTGTGGTGGATTAAGGCACTTCACGGCTCCTCTGCACACAGATAACTGATAGCTGTGTGAGGTGCTGCTTTCCCTTTCTCATAGAGGCATTGAGAGATAAAATAGTGATGGTTGGAAGCAGAAAGCCCTGCAATAATGGTGAAAGGATGAAATGGAGCTGTGAGGATAGTCTGGCTCTCTGGAAATGGCAGTAGGATAAATGTACCACTGGATAGTCTCTATTAAAATACAGTTAATGTCAGGGCCAGCTGCAGCATTGCTTTGAATGGAAGGAATTGTACAGCTGCTCCAGCATACAATGAGCAAGTTTACTTGTGGGGTCCTGATATGAGAAGAGTGACAGACACTCCCAGAAATCCACATAGGAAATCCATCAATGGTTAATATGGCCATGAAAATATACTTGTTAGCACTAAAGGAGCTTTATCTATTACAAAGATACTCAGCTTGGTGAGATGGTGGATTAAAGTGAATGGAATTTTGACCATGTGATATTACTAGGAAGCGCTATTAATATCAATGAATATTTTCATAGTATCTGAAAATAAAGACACGGTGCATTGTGTCAAACAGTCAACATTTACTTTGGATGGGCATAAATGATTTAAATAGTTGAACTGTTGAGGCAGTGCAGCAGCCCACTGAATACCTAGAAGAAAAGTAGCTTTATAGGAAAAATGTAGTGACCACTGAAGAAGAATGATGAAGCCTTCCTCAAGATGCTGAAGAAAAGGGCTTAGCTATTAGGCTAGGGAGAATGATATTAAGTAGGATTTTCATTTAATGTTGACTATTGTGCTAAAGCAATTCAGAAATGGAAGGACTGGCTCATTTTGTGACTAGATGGGATAGTGCTTTGTATTTCATTTTGCATAAGTATTATTGTGAAATGAAGTGACTGGTTAAAAGAGTAGAGCTGACCACAATTTAATAACAGGCCAAATTTCAAGTACTACAGGGAATTAAGCAATACATACAGTTAGATTAAAGTGTAGGCAGACCAAATTAGATAAAAAGAGGAATATATTAAGAAACAGAATAGTGTCAGTGTTTATTCTGAAGAAGAACTAGAGAAGAAAATTGGCCAACATGTTGAGATAGTAGAGTTCACTCAAAGGGAGCACAGACAATTACAAAAGCTCTTTGGAGATTTCAAAACCAATGTGGCTGAGTCATTTGCTTTGGAGCAGGGATACTAATCTAAACAAAACCAGAAAACAGAAACCTGTTTATTATGAATCAGAGATTCATAATAATACTTAGAAAAAATAATAAAAGGGAAGATGTAAAGAAATACAGGAGTGAAAAACATTGAAAAGTAATATTGGAGAAATTCTTAATTTTGTTAATCAGGACACCAAAACAGAAAATGAGAACAGGGTGACATGCCAGTTCTGCCCTTCTTGGAGAGCAAAAATTTGCTCTGGAATCTTTGAGAGAGTTTTTATGCTTTAAAGGACAGCAAAGAGCCTGTGAGATGGCATCAGCCTCCTCCTGTGCCTTTGAACTATTTTGCATGAATGAAAAAAGCCCCAAAATTAATGAAAGCCCTTAAAGTGTAATGCAGTGAAGAATTGCTTGGTGTGGCAGAGGAAATAGCTGAGAGACTAAATCATGAGGTGCAAAGAAAGATAAGAACTCAGTTTAGAGTCTTTCAAAGCCCTTTTTAGTTTGAGAGAACTGTGTGCCATAGGCACTTGGTACAGGAGACTTGTGTAGAAGGTCTGGAATAGCTTCAGATCTCCTTTGTATTCAAAACTGACTTGGTATCTGGGCTAAGTTCTATGCTCTTTCCTTAACTGCTTTTAGTCTCCAGGCAGGAATTTTTTTCCTCAATCCCCTTGTTTAGGTTTTATAGATGGGGAAAAAAAGTCAGTTTATAAACTTTGTTTTCATCATCACTGGCTTAACCACAACTATGTGGTAACTCTCGATTTTTGGTTGATCATTGAGGAAATAACCACTATATCCTCAGGTTTCAGAAACTCCTTCCCTACATACTCAACACCCACATGTACTTTCCTATGGGCACAACAACTATCTTGGCTGATGGTGCAGGTGTTGCCCAGCCACTCTGCCTCCTTTATTCCTGCCCCCCTACCAGTAAAGGCAACATACCAGAACTAATAGTGGTGGTGCAGGAATTGCAGTGGCAGAGGAAAAATCCTTTTTTCCCTAAATCTTGTCAATCCTGCATTGCAAAATTGCTAGTGTTGTTGAGAATTGTTGGGTTCTCTCCTGCTGTTATGCGTCTGCCATGAGATGATCATACACTAAATCCCATAATGAATTCATACCTATCCACCCAGCGCTTTACTTGTTTTTGCCATCATTTCAGTGGCTTCTGCAGCAGGTGGAAATGCCAGGTAATTTGGGACAGAGCCTTTAGGCATGGGGATTCAGTGGAAAAAGTCACACTGAGATAGCTCTGCAATTCAACTTCTTAAATCACTAAATTCTAGAATACAAAAGTGACAACAAATATTCCTGATCAGACTGTCAAGAAGGGAAGTTTCTTGGCATTGTCATTAAAAGCTTAATTCTGTGACAGAAACTTCAACTAAGTTACTGCAAGTGCCTCTGGTTTCTCAGCTTAATTACTGGGCACAGCAGGCATGGTAAGAAGAGGCGACTTTTCAGTCTTTCCTCAACTCACAGTGGAAGTCTAAAATCTACCTTTTGCTGAGCACTTTTTCTCATCATGAGCAGGAGAATTTTTTTTGTTCTCCACCTCTTTTAATGGCTCTAAGTCTTCACAGTTTACACACCAGCCTCTAAGAAGAAAGGTTATCAGAAATGTTATTCCATTTTGGTTTTGTCTCCAGTCAGTAATTCTCACCACTGCAAACCTAGGAAGGGCAAAGAGGAAGATTGGGGCAGAAGTAGCTTATCAGGTCTCCCAGCTTCCTGTAGGAATGGATTATGGGATAGGGGACAGCTGAGCATCAGCTGGAACATGCTAAAAAATTCTTCATGTCAAGTGCCAGCAGTAAAGTTAGAATGGAGTTTGTTCATCTGGAAAAACAATGACTACTGGTAAGTAATTATTTTTCTACCTGCAATTCTAGATTTGGTAAGAGATTGCAATCAATAGGCCCTAGGAGGATTATTTTTAGACATTAATGATAACAAACCTGGAAATCTAAAGCAGTGATCATATATAAAAATGAAATAAAAGAAAAAGAAAGGTTGAAAATAATGTTAGTTTGCATCCACAGCATTATGAAAATTGTGTGATCAGTGTATCAGTATCAAAGCTGTTGAGCTGTTGGTTATCTTTAGGAGAACTAATAGTTTAAATACCAGACAATTGAAAAACCACAAGCTTAATTCCAATACCTGTAAATATTGCTAGGAAAGCAGCTCCAAATAACAATCTTGAAAGCCTGTCTTAGGTTGTGGTGTTTAAATTAAAGATGGATTGATGAAGTGAAGCTTTTTGAATGTGTGAGTTAGAATGATTGAAAGCTATATGATGTCAGATGTGTCACTGGCTTAGAGATGTACCAGTGGACTGAGTGTAGTTGATTCACATGGCTGATGGTTTTAGAATATTTGATGTCATTTATGTATTCCATTATGAAAATGGATTATTGACTAGTAAGTAAGTAGAAATCTGAGTTCTTTTGTTGAGCAGGGCTTAATGTAAGGGCTGAATGCATAAGAAAAAATGCTTAAGAAAAGAACCTTTAAAATATAATGAAATTATAAAATCGCTTATGGAATGATAGTCTCAAACCCCAGGATTTTTTTTCTTTAGTCTAAATACCCTTCTTAATATATTCTGAGAGTGTCTTGTTTTCAAAGAGTTCTGTATATGTTTTCTCTCAAAATGAGAATCTTTTAAGGTAAAAAAGAGCAACCCTGTAATTTACTGTATATAGTCTCATCCAAGCAATTGACATTTAAAAAAAAAAAGAATTAACT